TTTAATACGCGAGATTATGGATGGACTACGACCACCGATGCCTGATTCCGCACCAGAGGAATACAAGAAACTTGCCGGGCGGTGTTGTGATGTTGATCCTGATAAGCGTCCAGATTCATCGACACTTGTGAGTGGTATCGACAAGCTTACTGGAAAGATCAGTTATGATGACAACATGTGGAATTCCGTTTATTATAATGATGTAAAATCCTTATCACGTCTCGAGAAGGAGAGTGAATATTCTAATACGTTCTTACCTACTACTACCGGAGATGAGAAATAGCTACGATTTGGATTCAGCTGCAGGTATGGAGACAGCATCTGGTTACATGTTGATATAAATGAAGTCAATTTACAATATTAATATGATCCATTGCTCTATAATTTAGTGACTCAAACTCTCGAATAAGCTTGTAATCACGGTTTATTTGCAGTTTAACAAGTTTTCGATCGGGTTCCTAAGGAATAACTTGGTTAATTTAAACTGCCAATTTCTTTCCAATAGCATTACACGAATACAACCTTAACATCAAATTGAGTAATTATGTTTTCGAAGCAGAAGGTTGTTTCCCTTAACATGGCCGAATAGGTTCTCGCAATTTTTTGTGTATGTATTACTATAATGTGCGCTAAATCCAGTATTATTTCACAGTGATTACATTGCTCGTTATGCCAACATAATTGCAAATGTAAGGGAGTGGTCGGTGACTTTTGAGACGGGGACTATACATAGTCAAAACTTTTCAGACACTCTACGTATCATTCCAAGCGGTGATTGCTGCTTTAAATAAAAGTGTGCAATATTTTCCATATGCACTAAAGCAAAAAAAAAAAAAAATTATTGGGATTTTTACTAATTTGTTATTCTGCTCATCATGACACGCTGTATTAATATTTTACTTAGACAGCTGATGAAGTAAGTGGTCCATAAGTTGGTTTTTTTATTTTACGGAATTAAATAAATTATGACTGTGCAACATTTGTCCGCATCAAATGATGCAACAGCTATGTTCAATTGTAAACTATCTCACATTACGCTGTACGTATTTTAACAAGTGCCGTTCACGTTCCCGCGTTTTGTTCGGTTTAATACGCGTACTTTTATCTTGTAACTTGTCTTTGACAATTTAACTACGACGCTATTATTAAAATTCTCATAACAAAAAATGCCAGGTCATGGGTCTATGAATTGATATAAAAATACTCTTGACGCTTGAGGTAAATATTAAGAGTTTTTTGTGTTAAACATGTTGGCACATTTCAAGAATTCAACAGTGCTACAATTGGTTTGATTATTGATATTATGATTCTATGATTTTCTCCAAAACAGTCACTTAAGACTTGCGCGTGTTAATGAATGCATAGAAACAAGCAAATAAATAATGACTAAAAATCTATTTATTGTTTTATTACTATAACTGGCTCTTCAAAACTTACCAAGGTTCAAATAAGAACTAATCTTTTCGAGTGTCGTGTATAATTGCACTCTCAAATATACGGCATAAAAACTCAAAAATTTCAATAATTACGTACACTTCCTTTCTGTTTACTCTTTAAGTACTTCTTATGTTTAACTACTTTATATACACAATCGTGTCATCCCACTAGCACTAGTGACTGGGTCCTTAACAAGAACACAATTAATTTGTTCTACAACTGCATACAAATGTGACGGTAAGGCTTTAAGATTTTCATTTTGACAAGGATAGAAAAGACATGAATTAACAGTACATAGTTATGATAAGCTGAAAAGATACGGAAGATATTTTCTGCTCAATATTAATATAGTAAATATTAAGCCTAGTTGTACAATTAAGGCCTCAAGTGACCTATTTTTAATTATGCGCGCTTCTCATTCGTTTTGTAGAATAAAATTTACATCAATTATAAGTAAACTAACTTTGGAATAATTATTGCTACTAAGGCAGTTTGAGTCTAAATCTTGACTGGCTCTCTAAAAGTCCCAGATCTCAATTCAATTGAAAATAATAAAAGAAGAGTTGAACATAAGGTAAATGAATGCTCTGCTACAAAAAATAGCCAATTTCAAAAACTTTATAAACGAAAAATGGGAATTAGTGATAGATTACTTCGACTTAACTTAATTAATAACATGCCTAGTCATATTGGAGATCTGATTGCGGGAAAAGGAAACAAGATCAAAAGACTAAAATTTTATATTGTACCGTATATGGTGACGGACATTTATACGGCACGCTAAATTTCATATCAACGTTAATTGCAGACAAAAAATTTTGTGACCTCGTTACCTCGAAACATAAGATGTTTGGTAACTATCTATGCGCGGTATAACATTAATTAACATCAAGTACATATTAATGTGTAGACAGATATCAAATAAGAAAATAAACACTCTTTGATCGGTTATTTTTCATTACAACTTTGTATCGGAGTAATTTATTTGTATATTCAGTCATTAACTATTACTATGTTCATTATTCGGGTGAGAGTTTATTAATCGCTAAGATCATCTTCAATCATAGGAGGTGGTATGTTCAAGACTGGGACCTTGTGAGGAGATCGAAAATCTGTGGTAGTAGTAGTAGGTTTAGATGGCGTAGTGAACGCCTCAATGGCATGTCAACACGAAAGAAATAATTAAAAGGTGAATGTTGCAAATTACTGCACTTACTAATAGACTGAGCTTTTAAATCACAAATTCAAAGAAACAATAAGTATATATTAAATAATTGCAGTGCATTATGAAGATTTTAATCACAAGAAAGCATACCAAACAAATCTATAGATCATTTTATTTGAGGAATAATAAACAATAAACCTTCTTTTCTTCCTTTACAACAACAATTAGGAATTACTTCCAAGTTATAAAATTATGGCCTAATCACTTTGGCTATAACGAAGATCTGTTTATAATGAAGGTTGTCTCCAAATCAATTATTAAATGAATATATATTTGCTATAAAAAGAGACCTTGGTTATAAGGAATATTTTTCCAGTCCCGTAGAATTCGTTACAACCATATTAGATTGTAAAAGATAGTTTATAATGGTTCCACTGAAATATGACAAGCAATACGTTTCTTGGAGTTACAGTAGGTTGCAATTGTGGTTGCTCAAAAATGATTCCGAGAGAAGAGTTTGCCGAATTACGTGAGGCATTTCAAGCTCTCTCTAGATCCAAACAATATATATTTTTGATAGCCCAGCTGAAAGCGATGGATGAAGGTCGCACCTATTTGGAAAACGAATGGCAGTGCCGCGATTGCTACAAGCGTGAAGAATTTTTCTCCTGAAATACATGGATGATCGAGTCTTGTCAATCGCATTACTCCATCGCTTGTATTTTTACCAGCGGAATCGAGTTATAAATCGGTCTATCGCAAAAGTGTCATCGGCTACATTAGTAATTTCTCAGCCACACCGGCCATTTGTGCAGTCTGGCCCATTTCATATACTGCAAATTGTTCTATATATAAGAGTAATATGAAAAAATCTGACATGTGTTTCGAATTACCGACAGTCACTTAACAATTCTTGTATCATATACTTGATACTGTGAGGATATACATAAATTATAAAATCATCATTTAATTCGAATTTTTTGAACGGAAAAGAAATTGAAATGTTCATAATTTAAAGGATAAATAAAGACTGGCTTGAAATTCAATGTTAATCATTCAATTTGAATTCTGAAGATGAGGTGATGAAGTTTGTCCAACATTTTTCAGCACACACTAATTGTTCTGAAACCTAGGCAAGTTGAAATCGGTTATAATATATAAAAAAAAAGATATACCATTTACGGTTTACTAAAATGGGCAACATATCGTTTCATAAATAAGGAGGTTTCTTGAAAGTTGAGACCAATAACCCATTTAATCAAAAGAAGAGACGGTGACAGAGTTTATTCCCTTCAAAAAAGCACTATTTAATAGGAAGAAAATTAATATTAATATCTATTCAAAATATCGTTTTTATTTCTCGAGCATACATGAAATACTTGTACCTTAAAGGTCAATCCAGCAGAAACTATTTGCAAACACTCTAATGTTGAAAATTAAATCTATGACACGTTTACCAGTTAATTCTGAAACCCGACTCAATTCATTGATATTACAACTCACAATGCTTACTTCCCTTGTCGGCATTGTATAAAGTCTGGTCACCTTCACGTCACCATACGACGCAATTCTGCTCAAAGGTGCCGTGCAACAGCCGTAATTGAGTTGACCTTGACTACGACCACATGCCTGTTGGAACCAAGGTTAAGTACTGACCACGCGGTAGTCACTAACCGCCTTTGGTAGACCCTGCATTCAATCTCCTAAGCAGTATCTCGTAAGTTAGTATCGTTAAGGCACTCGCGGGGACAGTTCGTAATAAGTTCGTATTCATCCCTTTGTAGAAAGCTACCCAACCCTCTTCCCGGTAAATCACTTTGACAGCATGACACATGCCGTGATATCTATGAGGTTGTGTGGATTGACTTTGGAGACGGGTCCTCACGACTTCGTGTGGGTAAGTGGCCAGCGACGCTGCCATCTTGGAGACAATAGATGCAAAGAGAATCGCCGGGTACGAAAGCTCCTCTTGATCCGAAGAGTCTAAAGTAACATTAATACATTAGATTGTCTATCGAAAAACGACGGCCGAATTATATCGAGACATGTAGATGCTTACTAAGCAATAATTTCATCTTCTCATATAATGGAAACTGCACAGCTACGTGACTCACACCCATTAAAGATGGTCCAAGACCCTTATAGAATCCTCTGACACCTTCTGTACGAAGAATAATCTTGAAAGCATGGAATGTATTGTGATACTTATGTGTGCTTGTGACATTCTGCGTCTACAAACAAGATGAGCATGAATATCTAAACATTTGATGAAAAACTGTTTGGCCAATAGCTCCACCCTTAAATAGCTAACCGCTTACCATGAATCGAGTCTTAATAACCCATAATGGATTGGTAACGACAGTACTCGTGGCGCCTGCACCCATGGCCGCAAAAATGTGAACCATCGACTGGTGATCTGTTCGTTCTGACCAGAATATTCATAGCAAAAGAGGCCTCCGTCAGCCTTAATCTTTTGTTTAATCTTCTCTTAAACCAGCGATTAAAAAGAATGCCATTTCAAATCAATTCTGCAGACCGCATAACTGCAACAATAAAAATGAGATTGATTCCTGGTCTTAACCGACATAGAAACTATCACCCTTGATGTCGTAATGGAAGAAAAGACATGCTTGTGACAAAGTTATTGTCTTTTGATACGCGAGAAACCACAACCACTGGCGCCCGCGATTTTCCATAGGCCGTACGAAATTACGGTCGTTCCGATCAAACACAGTACAGGCATGAAAATCTATGTAAATTAATCAATTTCTTAAAATTTACCTGCTCCAAAAGCCCTTTTAAAGTGGTCGTACGCGCTAAAATAGATAGCCCAGGTAGGAAGGTAGCCATACAACGTAGGACCAAGACCACGATATAAACCACGTATCCCTTCTTCGTTCCATATGCGTTTCAGTGTACCTGTGACCGCACAAAAGAAGTCTTGCTTTATCAATGGATGCTCTTTCTGCAGCAACTGCGACCAAAGAGTGCTGCGCGATCTTGACGGACGACATATAGTTAAGTTGACAAGCTACCGCCAGTTCCTTTATACAAAGGCACACTGTTACTCCCTTTCCTTTCTTTCCTTTGGTTCTGTAGCCTAGTCTTCACCACATCCAAAGGACAGGTGACCACTGAGCTAACGCAACCAGCTACTGCTCCTGCGATCGAATGCTTTAATTTGTCAGATTCAGTCGTAAATATTCCTGTGAGCTTGGAGTTAGACATGCTCGTTGAGGTTACAACTTTCAGACACAATTTTTATGTCGTATGTCAGGTGACAAGAATATTTGAGTCATGTGATTTAATGCTTAACATTGTGAGACGCAGTAAATAACGTATATCTTGTTTGTTCTTTTATCAGTTTTACTATATCAAATTTGTTTTAATTGCTTTAATAAGTATTTAGCCTTTTCTACTTGCAAACATTGAAATAAACAGTAAGGTTAAATTTTAATTCGTCTTTTGTTTTGTAACTAAAAAAGTCTAGGTGTGCTAAATATAAAATATTTCTCGTAAACTATTTTCGAAAAAAAAATCAATGTCGTACGAGATACGGTTAGTACTAGTGAACACCTTATGTCAAAATCGGATACTTTGGCCAAAGAAATACAGTAAGTGGGAGGATAGTTTATTCGGCGAAAAGCTCATATCACTTTTCATTATAACGAACCGCCTACATTCACGTTGTTGATAATAAGCACGATCAGTCTTAAGGGTACATTTCCACTGATCGTTAGAAGGGTATCTTATCTTGTTCGGGGTGCTTAAAAGACTCCAGACTCTTATTGAAAACGTTTGTTTAAGAGTTGTTGCGAATTTAGTCGCAAGTTGCTGAATGCCAGCCTTCATCCATTTATTTTCCATAACAGGGTTTGTAAGTTATTTATCAGTAATGTTATTCGTTATAGCTTACAGGATTTTTGTGTTTCGGAAGAGTTAGGTAACTATAGTTGAGTTAGGTTTATTGCTCAAACATGTTGCATCACTCCACCTAGTCGGTATCGCTTTCGAACTCTCATACTGAAGTGCAGACGTAAGATTGGATAACTCAAACATTTGATATTGTGATTGAATTTTCGAATAAATGTAAATTTAGAAGACAAAAGCTTTAATGAGGTATGGTTAGTATTAGTATGACGTTTTGCCAAAAGAACCATTCAGGACGAATAGTTAAAACTAGCGGTTCGGACCTCACATGTGTACCGGTCGGTGCATTTCGACTACACCAGGTCAATTAAGTTTGGTAATTGAATTCACCCTCCCATTTGTCATTGTCCTCAAGTACATTCCAAGGGCGGTCTTACTATTGTCAGATGTGGGCCAAATGACAGAATGATAATGGCCGCAAAGAACAAAGAAAGCCGCACAATGGATCATGCACCATTTCTGTTACAAGTCTTTTTATGGTGTCATTCATCTTCCTCCTACATTATATTATTACGATGAGCAACGATGAGAATGTGTGAAATGGCAATAACGCCACACAAATATTTCGGGGTCATTGCCCACATGTTTGACTGGGTACTGTTCAACCAAAAACTGGATTATACGTATTGCCTATTAAGTTCAAAAGAGAATATTTTTCCTAAAAATGAATCACAATTAACAAACTGAAACATGAGCATCTTCTTTTGCCATGATTTAGCTCTATTTTCCACTAAATTAGCAGTACTCTAGCAGCGGTAGATAAATAGCAGTAGATAATAGTAACCGAGACCCTTCCTGTCGAATCGAACAAATGAGTGATCTTCCTGACTTTGCGTAGTCAAAAAGCCCATTTTGGGAAGAATGTCAATAATAGTAATAGAATGAGTACCCGACGCGTCTTGTGGCGTTTTGTAAATCTGGCATTAGTAACGCTGAACCCCTGAAATTTTGCTCTTGCAGCATGCCCCACATTATCATATGAAATCACATACTAGTAACACGTGATGTTTCGATGTTCTTTGTTCATTAAGATGCTACAAAGGGTGCAACTTGGCAAGCATATACAATGTAACGATACCTAATTAACTCCGTTTCATGCTTACCTTACCCCACTAAAATCGTTTCGACTTGTGGAAAACCGCTTTGCAGATCACCCGTGACCACCCTTGGTGCCCCTTGTAATCGAGTCGACGTCATAACTAATCCCGCTTCACATACCCCTTCAAGTCCTTTCAATAAGTTCTTCGAAAGTTTAGGCTATGGCACCCAACACAGGAGACTCTAATGTGAATGATGAACAACCAGCACAGCTTGTAGATGGCACTTCAGGGCAGAAACAGGACCGAGAAGAAGGCATTTGGTCTTCCATACTGGACAGTGTATCGTCCTCTAAGGTTATTCCAACAAAAAACGCAATAATACTAGGTTCGTCCCTTCTGTCAGTAAAGAATCAGTATAAACCAAGGTTCATTTTATTCTATATGAAAAATCAAACCTAGAGTATTCGCTAACTTGTACGTATCCATCCCGAAACAAGGTGATAAGGAGTCGGGAAAATCCACTCTCATCAGTTATTTAAAGGGTGAAGACGATTCGGACCGCAACAGCAGTCTTAACAAAGCAGAGGATGAATTATCAAAAGGAGACAATCAGAGTAATGACTTGGCACTTAGTTATACATTTGTTGATATTGACGATGATGAAGCTGAAGGTTTGTAGTATTTGTAATGTCATATTTGCACGGTAAAATTGTTCGTGAAAGGAACGTCAAACGCTTTTAAGATGCAACAGATTGATGTTTTGAACGTGTTGGATTAACTGCGGCGTGTTTTTTTAACCTTGGTCATTTGATCTGCAGATGACACAATCGCTCGTCTTGGATTTTACCAGCTGGCGGGCTCAGATAAAGCCTATCATTCTTTGCTTCGTTTCGCTCTCAATCTAACAACGCTACCAGAATCGCTTATTGTGATAGTCTTGGATTGGTCTCGTCCGTGGACTTTCGTCGAGACGTTGCAGCGTTGGATCAAAGTGGTTGAACAGGCAATCGATTCTGTGAAGAAAGAGGGTGAATCTGGTTCAAAGAATGGTTGGACAAAGGGCAAAGTTCTAGTTGAAGAAATGACGGAATTATGTACGTTTTCTATTTTTAAGTGTGATTAGTGTTTCTATGTGGAATTAACTAACATGTAAGCATATAACAGTGGAAAAGTTTATTCAGTCATATAGCGACTCTGAGACATCTGCACCTAATTCCAATGTTCTTGAACCTGAATCGGACGTGGCACTTCCTATGGGTCCAGGAACTCTAACAACTAATTTGGGCATTCCGTTAGTTGTCGTTTGCGCAAAGGTCTGGATTAGTATTTTATTCTAAAAAAAAAACGTTTCAAAGTTGAGTCAAACATATTGAACAGAAAATTTTCCTACAATTTAGTCTGATAATATTTCAAATCTCGAGCAAGATTCTAAATTCAAATTCAAAGAAGAACAGTTTGAATACATACAGCAAAGTTTACGAACAGTCTGCCTTAAGTGTAAGTGAACGACAACTTATCTCAGTTATATTTACTTTTATAACAGAACTATCGCTTATTTTCACACTTTTGCTGTTAAAGATGGCGCCGCTTTGTTCTACACATCTATTCAACATCCAGAAACAATCAAGAATCTTCGTAAATACATTCTCTACAGACTTCTTGGTGCAAAATCATCTTCAAGCACCAACAAATCTGCATTTGCTTTTAATTTAAAGACTGACGTTGTTAACAAAGAGCAAGTAATGATTCCAACTGGATGGGATTCTTGGGCAAAGATCAATATTTCCCGAGAATTCGATTGTAAAGGTTTGTCGGAGGGATGGGATGACGACATTGATCGGGACGATAGTAATCAGTCAGATGATAGTAGTGTGAGCGCTAAAAAGATATACGATGAAGTCATCTATAAGGAAGATGACGACAAGGTAATTTCCTTTTGCATGCCGCATGCATTTGTGAACAATAGGAAATATAGTAAACTTCCTTCCTTTATTATCAGCCGTTGTCAGAACAAGATATGATTGTTGCTGAAGACGAACAAGACTTCTTTAAGGAATATTATGATACATTCTCGAAAGCAAATGGCGAAAAAGTGCAAATGGCACCATCGGTGGTTGGGCCAATGGGTGCAGCAGCTTATACAGCTGCATACACTAACATTGGTGGAATTGACGAAGAGAGATGGGCTAAACTCGGGATTGGCAACAAAGGGGTGAGTAACTCCGATGAGGTTTGGGAATCAACAAGTAATAGCTGTTGGGGGCGGTTCTAAATGTGTTATTTATATTCATAGGATCAAAGCAAAAGTACAGCCCAAGTGCCGGCTTCTAACGGTGTTCCTACAAATGGCACTGTAAATGGCGTAGGGGCATCGGCACAAGGACCTTCCCAGAATGAAGTTCTTCATAATTTCTTCCAAGGGCTTCTTGAAAAGAAGGCACTCAATTCAGGCACAAGTAGATCCTCACAATCATCTGCGAATGGTTCCGCAACCAACTTATCTTCAGAAAACCCTAAATTGTCGACTGCCGCTACGAATGGAACAACACGGAAGATGGTAAAGGAAGAACTTGAGAAATTGAGAATTGGTACTGTCGGTACTGTCGGCAAATGAAAATTATAAAATATTCTTGATATTGGAATTGGCGTGTATCCAACAATCACTGTAATGAATGGGGAGGTGCATATACTATATATTTGTATACGTGTAACAAAGCCAACACTCTCGATGTGTGGGACAATGTGGTTATAGGTTCTGTTTTACTTTATATCTTTATTATATAAATTTATCTTTTAAACTCTTCGGAACAGAATCCCTCATGGTCGTCCTTTGTCATGATTCGTAACTTAAAGGAGTTGTCTGGTGTTGTATATTCAGCTAAATATCCTATAAACATTTTTAGTTTTTTATAGAGTGTCAGATCATAAAAGCGATCGTTCGTTTAACAATTGTGTGCCGCTGGCGCAGCACGTTAAGTTATTGATGACGTAGAAGTTTGGTTATTACGTAAATAAAAAAAACGATGATGATCAGGTTAGATCCCTAACGAAAACCATGTACCAAGGACTTCACTACGATCCAGATAATATAATAGAAGAAGATGGTGGAGACATTTCCCAGGAAGACTGCTGGGCCGTCATTCAAACATTTTTTAACGACAAAGGACTTGTTCGTCAACAGCTGGACTCGTTCGACGAGTTTGTTCAGAACACTATGCAAGAGATTGTTGACGAGAACAGGAATCTAGTTCTACAAACAATACAAGGCTCTGGAAGCGAAGGTGATCAGGCGGTATGTAAACTGATTGCTTCCCTTGGATTGAACTTGTAACAGATCCGTAGAAAGCTATAATGAATATTGAATCTCAAAAGTGGCGATCGTGAATTATGTTAGAGAGGGTGTGTTTGTAGAAATCGCAGCATTATATATTGCTCTAGAAAGTGTCGTTATGCTTGTAAATAAAAAAGAAAATAAAGCTATGCTCTCTTGAAGTAGCCGAGATGGTAGAAGAGAACTTGGAGATTTCGAAGTAGCGCTCTAATATATGGTCTCTACCATCATTGACTATTGAAGGATGGCACAACTTTTAATTCAGTTATATATGTTGACGGTGGGGTGGAGCTACTGCGTGCAATAGAGTGCGATCGTGAATCGTTCATTAAATATCTCAAGGCTTACTTACTTCACATCAGAGACGATTTTACATTCAATTCGGTCAAGTTTATTTATCCAAACCGACAATGACCGAAGCGGATGGTAGTTGTCAAGCCATGTTTCCCCAAGAAGCTCGACTTCGGAACTTGACGTACGGTTTTCGATCGTATTTTTGTTTGATTTAATTATTTTTTATAGAGTTTTCTTGAAAGAATTAGATTTTAACGGGATTGTTTCGGTATATACAACAGATATGCCGCACCATTATACGTTGACATGAGGGAGAAGATAGCACATGCGGATCCTAGAGCACCTGCCAATCGAGACAAGACGAATGTGAATGATATGTTCAACGAAGACGACCTTCAAGAAGAGAATCAGAATCCCGCAGATTTCGATAAAGTCTTTGTGGGAAAGGTTAGAAATCTGACAATTTTCACCATACATGTCAATAATTGATTTGTGAATATTCACGATACAAAAAAACATGCCTTGCTGGACAGGTACCGATAATGCTAAGATCAACTTTCTGCGTTTTACATGGATTGGAGGATAAGAATTTATACGCCTTGAACGAATGTCCATATGATCAGGTTTGCTCAAAAACTCGGACTTGATCAACCCGTTTATTTTAATCTTGCGCGTATTTTTACCTACAATCATTTCTTTTTACCATCAGGGTGGCTATTTTATTATAAACGGCTCTGAGAAGGTGCTTATCGCTCAAGAAAGGATGGCAACTAATACAGTGTATGTCTTTGCGAAGTCACCCCCTTCACCATATTCATACACGGCCGAGATAAGGAGTGCTGTCGAAAAAGGTTCGAAGCAGTCAAGCTCCCTGATGATCAAGCTATTGGCAAAGACGGCCGAAAGAGGAGTATGTTCACACCCAAGAGTGTAATCTGTTGTCTATATAACAGGAATCAATCTGTGTTGCTAATCTTTCTTTTGCAATAGTCAACGGGTCAATATATTCACTCGACCATACCATATATTAAAAAAGATGTTCCAGTGGTGATTGTATTCCGTGCTCTTGGCCTAGTGGCAGATAAGGAGTTTCTTGAACATATCTGCTATGATGCTAATGATTTCCAAATGCTGGAGGCGCTCAAACCGTGCATAGAGGAGGCTTTTGCAATCCAAAGCCAAGAGGTATCATTTTGATCTCTGTGTATCAAAACATTTTGCAACTAGTAGCCATACTTCTAACATAACTATAGGTTGCTTTGGATTGGATCGGTCGTAGAGGGACAACTACGGGAGCAACTCGCGATAGGCGTATAAAGTATGTGTGATGTATTCATAGTGAATATCATTATGAGAAAAATGTTGACACGAATAATTTAATGGTATTTAGGTACGCAAGAGAAATATTACAAAAAGAACTGTTGCCTCATGTCGGTACTGAATTTAAATGTGAAACGAAAAAAGCATATTTTTTCGGTTATATGGTACATCGATTACTGCTCGCTGCCCTTGGGAGGCGCGAATTAGATGATCGAGATCATTACGGAAAGAAAAGGATGGATCTTGCCGGACCACTACTAGCGTCGTTATTCCGTATGCTCTTTAAAAAACTTACAAAAGATATTGGTGCCTATTTGCGCAAGGTTTGTCACTTCAATCTTATACGATCATGACTGCACAGCGCTAACATCGATGACTTCTTGTTTACAGTGCATCGATACAAGTCGTGAATTTAACCTCAATTTGGCAGTGAAGGCGCAGACTATTACTAATGGATTAAAATATTCTTTGGCTACGGGGAATTGGGGAGATCAGAAGAAGGCCATGCAGGTATAATAGGCATTATGTTAATATTTTTATATATCCTCATTCTTGATGCTAGGATTAATTGCATTATTATTCGACATTCAGTCGAGAGCCGGTGTCTCGCAAGTACTCAATCGCTATACGTTTGCGTCTACACTTTCCCATCTGAGAAGATGCAATACACCGATGGGACGTGACGGAAAGATTGCCAAGCCACGCCAGCTTCATAATACGCACTGGGGTATGGTTTGTCCTGCTGAAACGCCTGAAGGACAAGCTTGCGGTTTGGTCAAGAACTTGGCTTTAATGTCCTATATTTCTGTTGGGAGCTCATCCGACCCGATTATTGAATTCTTGGAGGAGTTTGGCATGCAGAATCTTGCTGAAATACAATCGAGCAACGTCAATTTGAATGAAGCTACAAAGATATTTGTGAATGGTAGTTGGGCTGGGGTCACTCATGATCCAGAAGAACTTGTCAATACTCTTAAACGTTTGAGACGATGCGTCGATGTGAGCCCAGAAGTAAGTGTTGTCAGAGACATTCGTGAAAGGGAATTACGACTTTATACAGATGCTGGAAGAGTCTGCAGGCCACTATTTATTGTGCAAGACATGAGATTGGTAATCACTAAGGAAATAGTACAGAAGCTGGAAGAATCGGTACGACACAATATTCCAATTGTGCAAACAACTCTTTTTCTTTTGAATGTAGTCAAAGATTATAACGATTTTATTAGAAAAATGATCCAGACGCGCCTACTTTCGGTTGGCAAGATCTAATTGCGAACGGATGCATCGAGCTTATAGATGCCGAAGAAGAAGAAACAGTTATGATTTGTATGACGCCACAAGACCTTGCCGAATCGCGGCGATACCATCTTGGTGGTGAAAAAGAAATAACAAAGCAGAAAGTGAAGGATGTCTCTGCACGTGTTAAAAGCAATATCGCCGCGTATACAAACTCCTGGACTCATTGTGAAATTCACCCTAGTATGATTCTAGGCATCTGTGCGAGCATCATACCTTTCCCAGATCACAATCAAGTAAATACTTTTTCCATGAATTTTAATTTATTGTTATACCGATATGCTGTTTCATGTCTGATTTGTTTTCTTTTCTTCTCTAGTCTCCTCGTAATACTTATCAATCCGCTATGGGTAAACAAGCGATGGGTGTATATGTTACAAATTATCAACTGCGAATGGACACTTTAGCAAACATTTTATACTATCCCCAAAAACCACTTGTAACAACACGTGCCATGGAGTTTTTGCGGTTCCGTGAACTGCCTGCTGGTCAGAACGCGATCGTTGCTATCCTATGTTATAGCGGATATAACCAGGAAGATTCGGTAATCATGAATCAGAGTAGCATTGATCGGGGTTTGTTTAGGAGTATGTTTTACAGAAGTTATATGGATCAGGAAAAGAAAGTGGTACGTAAGTTTTGTTTGTTTATCATTTAACATCAAAAACAATAGTTCACGTTGCTTTTTTCGAAAATCTCTAGGGAATGTTGACTATTGAGGAGTTTGAAAAACCCACAAGAGAAACAACGCTTCGTTTGAAGCATGGAACCTATGAAAAAATTGAAGAAGACGGGCTAGTTGCTCCTGGAACTCGAGTTTCTGGAGATGATATTATTATTGGAAAGGTCACACCGATTCCTCCGGATACCCTGGAACTAGGTCAACGACAAAGCACTCATACAAAACGTGATGCGTCTACTCCTCTTAGAAGTACTGAATCGGGAATCGTCGATTCAGTCATGGTGACAACTAATCAGGAAGGAATGAAATTTGTTAAAGTTCGTGTGCGAAGTACCCGTATACCTCAAATGGGAGGTGAGTGCGATGATATTGCAAAAGAACAGGTATTATGAGCAATTGCACTTTATTCATTCACCTTACCATCCAGATAAATTCGCGAGTCGTCATGGTCAAAAGGGTACTATTGGCGTCACATATCGCCAGGAGGATATGCCATTTACTGCAGACGGAATCACACCGGATTTAATCATAAACCCGCATGCTATTCCGAGTCGTATGACGATAGGTCATTTGGTTGAATGTCTGCTAGGAAAGGTAGTTAAACAACTACAGATTAACTATCAACTCTTTTCTGCTGTCGCAAGCTTACTTATTATGTTATTTGGCTAGGTCTCTACCCTAACAGGTAGTGAGGGTGATGCGACACCGTTCACAGACGTGACTGTCGAAGCAATCTCGGCTGGTCTCAGGGAGCAGGGTTACCAGTCCCGAGGCTTCGAAGTCATGTACAATGGACACACGGGTCGCAAGCTCTCGGCCCAAATATTTTTGGGCCCTACCTATTATCAGCGTCTCAAGCATATGGTAGACGACAAGATTCAGTGAGTAAAGTAATTGTGAATGTTTAGACAGTGTCTGCAACTCTACTAAATGTGTTATTTTTATCAATCAGTTCACGGGCGAGAGGACCCGTACAGATTCTTACAAGGCAGCCAGTAGAAGGACGGAGTCGCGACGGTGGATTACGTTTTGGAGAAATGGAACGAGACTGTATGATTTCGCACGGTACAGCCATGTTCCTCAAGGTATGTTTGTTCCCCTTTTTAAATATTATTACCTGATTGTAGAATTTATTTTTCACGTCGACATGTTTTCGTTGTATTTTAATAGGAACGGCTTTTTGACGCGTCTGATGCATACCGCATACATGTCTGTGACATTTGCGGATTGATGGCTATAGCAAACTTAAAAAAGAATACTTTTGAATGTAAAGCTTGTAAGAATACTACACAGGTAATTACGATATATTCTGCCACGAGGAAGCTCATCAGATTATGTCACTTAAAACTGCAGCTATTTACTGACTTGTTAATTTCACACAGATATCGCAAGTCCACATTCCATATGCATGTAAATTACTTTTCCAAGAATTGATGGCGATGAATATCTCTCCACGCCTTTTCACATAGTAGTTATGTTCAATGTTATATTATTCTAGTAATGGTGGTTACTCTTATTGAAATTGTGGGAAGATAATTTGTGGGGAAAAAAAAAACCAACAAACAAAACTTTAATATTAAATGGTTTTTAATCTGCGCCTTAAAAACATCGAAAAAATTATTGAATATTGTTCGTACCCTTCCGGAATTTTCATATAATCAACTAATTAATATTGAAAAACAACTCTCGTCAACGTTACGAGTTAGAGTGCTGCTTTTGAGAGCAGCTTAACTCTTGATTTAGTTTTTAAATTTCTTTTTTTGTTTATTGAGTTATGGTCTTTTTATGGATAAGGGAGTCGAACCCTCATTCTTGTGTGTCTACCATTCAAAGAAACAGAAAAAAGGAAATTAAAAATAATGGCCTGCCGTTGTTAAATGTTCGGACATGTGACATGATCGAATACGTGACTTGTGGTGTACAACAAGTCCATAGTATCATGTTTATAGTAGACTATAAGACTTGTTAGCTCAATGGTAGAACACCTGACTTTTACTTAAACCGCCTGATTGATTTGGTGTTAGTACAGTATGCTACAAATTAATAAAATACTCTGACGAATTTGGACCGATTTATGTGGGCCCTGCATCAGCATAGCATGATCAGCATTAAATAATTAAATTATCTCCGGTACATTTTTATCATTTCCACACCTCGAAAAAAGATATTAATTACTCTATATCTTACATACAATTTATTTATTTTTTTTCTTTTACTAACACGAAAATCTTTGAACGACACATTGTATCAGAAAAATTGTATTTAAAAGATGGGAACCTTTTTACAGCCGACTCGAGCTAAATCGGTATTATTTCGCATCAAGACGGGCTATAAAGTTCCCAAAAAAGTCCCGCAGCCCATCTACCAAACCCAACTGTATAAACTTGTTTGAGCAAACAAAAAAAAAGAGAGGTAGAAATCTCCCGTACTCTCCCGGTCACTATCTAAACTTGAATTTAAAGAATCTAAAGAGTCCATTCGAGAGGTATCAAGAGAAACTTTTGCTACTAGTGTAATTTAAAAAAAGAAAAAGAAAAAGTAAAAGCAAAGAAAAATACTAAAAGAAATAATTGTTTCTTGGATTTTCATTATTTTTTTTTGGTCTTTTATAGTCAAAAAAGAAACGAAACAAAGAAAGCAAAGCATGATTTACACAAATTCGAAATTCAAGAAGTGTATCTAATTTTTTTTTAAAACCTATGAACATTAGTCTATTCTATTCCACTCCCCAGCTATTACTATTGATCTCCTCACTTGTTGTTTCTTCTCTTCGATATTGTTCATATCGCCTTGCCTCCTCGACGGGAGCATTATCTGGTGATGGTGTGTGTAAAACGGTACTATTGTCTTGAAAATATCGATCTAATCCCTCATTTGTAGGTGTAGTGGTACCCGTGGCAGGACCGTTTGCATTCGCTCCAGCTGATGAATAATGGTGCGGACTACTTTGTTGTGCGTTTGTTACTAGTTGCAGAGAACTGTTAGTGTATGTTTGTGTCGGAGTTGCGGGTGCAGCGGATGGCCCAGCACCATTAGCCAGTCCAGGAAGCGCATATCCGCTAATCCTTGGTGATGATTGAGCAGAAGAGGACGCCGTTGACTCGGAGAATTCGTACTTGACACGTTTGCCAGCAGGCCATCCAGAAAAAGCAGATGAACCAGGAGATGAATTAGGACTAGCGTTCATCGGGCTTGGAAATGAGCCAGCAGCGACATTCATAGCCGTATTGACAGGAATGCCGTTCAATGGCGGTGGATGCATGGCAAGAGGTGGGCTCGATTGATTTGATCCATTATAGTCGTCAGTCTCATCATCGCCAACATAGCCTCGTTTTTGACCAATTATTTGTGATGTGGAATTCGATTGAGGTGTCGTCCCGTTTGCAACATCTGCAGAGACTAGATGATTATAAATCCCTGCCGGTTGTCGGTAATAATTGTTTCCATTACTACCAACAGCGTCTTCCGATTTAACGTTGGGATACACTGGGGTGCCCGGTCGTGCATTAGGTCCAGAGTTGATGGCAGCAGAAGCACCAGTATCATAAGAGACTGGTGAACGTGGTTGGAAAGAAGTCTGAAACGTCGATCGTGAGGGGATTATTGAAATGGATCATGTAACAGTTAGTACTATATTTAATAAATATCTATTTGTCTCAATCCAGCGTCAAATACTAACCGTCGTCCCAGAAACGACTACATTTTGTTGGCCTTGTGGCTGCCCATTGATTACTGCATAATTAGAATATTCATCGTCTATGTGTTGGGTTGCATGGTTGCTAGATACGAGAAAATGCTTGAGTAAGACAGAATGAACTATAGCAACACGTTAGTAAAATCATTCTGTACATACTTTGCGTTTGGTGGATATGCAGGTGAATTGTGATCTTGTGGTTGGGATGCTTGATTAATTATTCCGCCACCATTACTATAGCCATACCACTGCCTATCATATGTAGGACCGTTAAATGCATTTGTAAATGTATGCGGTCGCCACTGGGTGTGTGCACCGACACCGTTCATTGAAGGGATTCTATTTGTCTGCATAGGCGCTGTATAATTGTGAAGGAAGACACCTGGATCCTCAACGAACAACGGGTATAATAACTCGTGGATCTTGAATTGTTGAGCCAGAGTCTTTGCTCTTCCAAATGTAATCCTATCGTTTATGGAAATAAAAAGAGTGCAAGTTGCATAAGCGATCAACAATGCTTGATATGAATGAACTCTTTAGCCAACCGACTATTGTCATTATTGCAAACTTACCATACGCCCTTCAAGTGCATTGCTCCAACTTTAACGACTACACGCCCTTTCTCATTCTTTAGAATACCATCTCTTTTTCCACGTGACATTCCCACAACGTTCAAAAGTTTAGTGCCGTTAATCATATTATTATCTGACAGGTGGGATGGATAACAAACACATGTTAGACTATATAAAACTTGCGAAACTGATTATGATCACCCAGATCACGAAAGGTATTCTCATACCTTGACGTCTTGCTACACAAATTCCTCGAGCATCGACTTGGTAGCATAGCGTTCCCTCATCTTCCCATATTGTAGTTGTTAGTTTTGGCCGAGGGTTATGCTGTGACAGGCCACCGGGTGTTGCTCCATAGCCAACAGCAGGCATAAAAGCGCTGCCGCCAGCAGTATTGGATATGGCGACAGCACCAGGAGAGTTGCCACCGCTGAGTGTGTTCCATGATGGCCAGAATTGGTTTGGCGGGTTGGCAAAATGTGCAGTATGTTGGGGATAAATTAGAGCATTACTGTCCAAATGAGAGGCCATCATCGTGGAGTCTGGATGTATTAGTTGAGGTTTAGTTGAGGTGGGAGTGGTTACGGGAGTTGGGTGTTGAGGGATGTTCTGATATGGAGAGAAGGCAGAATTATTCGAGTGTTGTAGAACGGGAGCGGTATTTAATGAACGGGGAACCGAAGTAAGATTGTTTTTAGCAGACGAGTTGGCGGTGGGAGTAATATTGGAGTTGCTGCTGTTGGTAGTGGTGGGCAGTGATGGAGCTGGAGAAGTTGGCGTTGTGGGGTGGGGAAGAGCTTGCTGAGTGTAGTGAGTGGTAACAGTTGTTAATGCAGAGGTGTTAGATGATTCGGTGTATAGCTTATTTGAATTCTGGAAACCAGCCATAAATCGGAAAAGGTGTTTGCTTGTGTCTATCTACGCGAGTTGCCGCCAATCTGTTGTGTTGCTAGTTTCTATATGTTTCCCTGTAAGCAACCAGTCTTTTGTTATGCTTCTTTAATCAATATCTAGGTGAGCGAAGAGGAGTCGAGAGGGGGAGAAGGCAAGGTTGCTATTAGGAGGATGGTCTATTAAGAGAGGATTATTATTTGAAGGGTTTGTAGGCTGGTATACTTCCAGGCAAAGAGAGAGGAAAGGGAGTGGAGGAAGCTGGCTTTATCAAGTTTTATGTTATAGTTAGATGTCTTGCAATTACAATAAGCGATAATTTAATTTAATAGGTTTCAACCAAAAATCAGCCTTCAATTTAAAAAAGTACTGTTGTAATATACAAAGTATTGTTATGATATAAACATAATTATACAAGCATATAATAATAATATATATATACAACAAATATAAAACGATACAATTAAACGAGACAATATTTATTTATTTATTTATTCGTAATGTATAAATACTATTTATATTCTGTTTATCGACTATTATTAGTGGTTGAAATATACGTTCATATCGGATAGTATATTGGGCATCTGATTGTATAAAATTTTATTTGACCTTTTTTGTCCATGTTTCGCAAAGAAACAAGAAAAAAAACTTTTTCTTTGGTGTATTCAAACAACGCACCAATTGGCTATTCCGTATAAGGAGAAAAAGATAACACAAGAGATTATTTTTATTAGCTAGTTAGAACTAGAAAAGAGGAAACTTTATTCTCGATTAGTGAGGAACCCACATTTTTTGTACGATGCGGGTTAAGATGCATCTCATGCTCGACATCTTACAAGCCCACAGCCTGATACTATCTAATCGACTCGTTATTAGCGAGCAGGGTTTCGCCCATGTACAAACGTCTGCCATAATTCATATGATTTCATCTTGCTTCTTTTCACGCAGTTTACGAGTCCCCCCAACCACCACCAACCCACCAACCCACCAACCCACCAACCCACCAACCCACCACCACCAACAACCCACCAACGCAACGCACACAACCACAACCCACAAACCCCACCCCCTCGTATAATCAATCAATCAGAAACCACACTACTGTAATTAAATTCTATTTATTCGTTTTATTGTGTCTATTTATACGTCGTTGTACAGCTATACTTTTATTACCAACGCTGGTGATACAAGAGAGAGAATGTTATCGCTCGGAGAGCGTACGGGAAGGATCAGGAAACCGACATAGTGGAGGTAGTAAAGGGGGAGGACAAGGGAAACTTTTTTCCTAGATGATAACCGATTAGGTAGTTGGGCGGGATATCAAGTATACAAGATGCGGATATGTTCTTTGGAGGAGGGAAGAAGATCCGGGGCGAATGGTGATGGATGATGGATGGTATTTTGTTTCTCTCTTGATTTTTTAGAGGAATACAGAAAAGGGGTAAAAGTAAATACGACTGATTACGATGATATCGATTGTTGAGGGGGAAGAAGGGGGGTGGGTCGAACTGGTCTCAATAGTAATTAACATTGTTATGATGGCGATTGTTATCATTTATTATTATTATTAAGAAAGAGCGTACAGAGAGAAGAAAAAAGAGAGTGTGTAAGACGGAAAGAGGAAAGGAGGCATTCGTGTAAGGGAATACAAGGATGTTTGCTGTATTGGGCAACAAGAGAGTGGAAGGGGGAGTTCGGAAGGCATTGTTGGACAGTGTTGGATACCATAATCACACTACGGAAGACGCCGTCAATTCATGATCATTCATTGTCTTTATTCTGGCGTTAGCCATTGTTGTAGTGAGAAACGCAAAAAGTCGAAACGCAATATAATATAATAAGAGGCTGATTTTACATTTACATTTTATCAACTATTACTTGCGTCATCACACAAATAATTAATAAAAGTATTTATTCTATTAATTGTATCTATTCCATTACGCCATATTTCCATACCAATCAACCCGTCTGATTTGTTGGTGATCTCTGTTAGGTAGATGATCCTCTGTACATGATATCACATTCCCACCCTACGAAAAAAGAGCCACCACCAACCAACTCGCAACTCGCCAACAATCCTATTAATATTTTTTTCTCGTATAGTTATATATCCAATGATGCCTCATTTAGGCGTACATCGATCGTGTGCCAGTCACATATAATCGAGCTATTGGTATTAATCCGTTCTTTGTACAAATTTAATAACCTGTCGTATGATTCATCTTGTAATCGCTATGTAATACATCAGCTCATTTGTTCCCCTCGTTATTCCAGAGTGTTCAACGTACTTTTTCAAAGTCATGAAATATATGGGTATCAATAATGACTGAGAAAGTGGACAAGGTCGGATTGGACAATAGCCAACATTGTAGCTATTAATAGTACCCATAACAAATGCAAACAGAATTAAAGAACCATATTTGCCGAGGAATTGGATTAGTTTTAATCTCTCAGGTCCAGATACATACATGTACATATGTACATACATACATACATACATACATAACCAATATTCATGCTAGTTAGTTGGATATATAAATCTCATAAGCATATCCCGCTAGGCAAACAGTTGCAAAACCAGCTAGTCGAACAACTCGATTGACAAGCAAGCGCACAGCGGAACATGGGCTTTGTTGGCAATCTATGTTGTTATTGTTATCCATCTATTCGATTCATCACATTCATTAAAATAGTCCTTCTCTAGTATGCTATTGTCACCTTGTATTTATTACCATATTTGTAATCGATGGGAGACTGTTCTCAAACTGGGTGTGTGGCGTATATTTCTTTCTATTGTACGCCTGCAAGGGTGTGCAGCTGACGCTAACCTAATTATTCCACTGTCGTCACATCCGTATCCGATTGTTTCGCAAGGTGAAAAAAAAAAAAACCTGATATTTCATATTTTTCCATTGTTATTGCCAGTGGAGCAAATGAATGAACCGAGAATGCAGCCATTATAAAAACTAACATATGCAAGATCTACCTTATGCTTCAGCAGTAGGGCAAATGTCGTTATCATATGCCAAGTACATCACTCATGCCCACAGCGTTAATCTTTACATTGCCTGGATGTTTGATGCAGACAAGAAAAGATACAACGTCAGCAAATAGTGCATATCTCCAAGTGTGTCTCGAATGCAGATTGGTCAATGCTTGGTTGGGGTTAGGGAACATATATGATATGGCATTATAGGTATTATGGATATTATGGGTATTATAGGTATTATGGGTATTATGGTTTTATGGGTATTATGGTTTTATGGTTCTATGGGTAGGGTATTATGGTTTTATGGTTCTATGGTATTATGGTTCTATGGGTATTATGGTATTATGGATATTATGGGTATTGTGGGTATTGTTGGTATTGTTGGTATTGTTGGTATTGTTGATTAGTCACAATTATTATATCATCATATCTTTTGATCGTAACTGGTTTGTGATGAGAACTCGCTCTCTTTTGCAATAAAATATTACAATCAAGCTTCTCCTTACTTTATCACACGATCACACAGGCAGTTTTGTTGTTGCAAATGCAAGGTAGAATTTGCACGGGGTAGAGTTGACGAATAGGAAGACGGTGAGTAAGCGCTGTAAAAGCCGTTGGGTTTTTTAGAGTTTGCACGATATTTTTTCTTTGTAAGAGACAACTATTATTATTGTCGCATATTTGCATATCAAACGACCCGCTTAAAGTGTTTCTTTAGTTTTAAGTGGGGCAAAAAAAAATTTTTTTTACGATGAACTTATTGATTAATAATACAGTTAATAATCTCCCACGAATTAATAAGAGTAAGAAATAGTGAAATATTTATTAACGTCATACTTTACGCTTGTTTGATTGTTGATTTTGTCCAATTTGGGCCAAGGGGTCTGCAAATGCTGATGGCATAATACAAATACTAATCCCCTAGATAGTTATACAACTCGAGTATCAACACCCGTCACACCGTGTATAGCCTAATACAGCAAAGATATGCTCAATGCATCCCGTATATCGACCATTACTTTTTATAAAAAATTCGAGAATTTCTCTTACAATTGGGGGGAAGGGGAAGGGAGGGGCAGAATTTCTTCTTAATCGGTATTTTGTATATTAGTCGCCCACAATGGAGAGCCGGCATGCGAAAATATTGTGACGACGAGAGAACAAAGAAATCGTGGCTGTGAAGGATAATAGTGTATAATAGAGCGGACCATCATCATTCCCGTATGACGCCTGCAGAAATATACGTGGACAATGTCATTTAGAGTACAACGAATTACAAGCGAACATGGCTAGCGATAAAGTTCCATAATATACAGTTCATGATGTGATAGTCATACGATATAACATTCTGAAAATAGCCACCATTCCAATTGGTCATGTGTCTAAATGAGTTGCTGCCGATAGTTGCTGCCGATCGAAAAGGTTGTACAGAAACAGACAAGGGAGAGAATCACACAACACTGCTGCTATAAGGACACTTTTAGTATTGGCTAACGAAGATGGGCAAATTATTTGCCGATTTTTTTTAAGAACAAGCGATTGATTGAATGGACAATAAAAGCTTTTTGATTACAAAGTAAAAGTTCAAAGTGGTACATGACGCAAGACTACCGTTAACCATCATTATAATTATGCACGAACCTTTTTATCTGGGTGTTTCGCTTATCATCAACCATCAGCGTGTGTATCATTAATCGTATATTGCACTACCTGACAAGCAAATTTTCAGACCATTGTTGATCGTTGTGGTTGGAGGGCCCTTGCCTTCCCTGCTCCGCCCCTCCGCCCTCCTCCTCCAATCGTTGATTAATTTGGTAACTAGCATTACCCGATTATGGAACTGAGATGGTTAGAATCTTGCTGGGGTTTGTTTATTTATTTACTTGCTTGCTTGCTTTGCTTGCTATGCTTGTTGCTTGCTTGCTTGCTTGCATTACGTACTTTCGGGCATTTTCAATTAAATGTCGGCAGTAATTCTGGGGTGATTGTAACCACCTCACAGAATCCCAAGTGCTGTCAGCCATAAATAGCAGTTAATATGGATAATGCATTAATCACGGGAGGCTACTAATAAACAATGATTTAAACTATTGCACAAGTCAATCGCTGCAGGAGAGAATTATACATAAAAGTATGCTAACAATAATAATATCATTCTGGTAATGGGGAATTATATAACATTAATAATATTAATGAAATCATTTAATGTCGCACACTCTGATATCGTCTATGCACATTGGTCATGTGTTCATATCAATAAGCTGACTAGTATGATGACATTCTTAATATGATTACATATACATTGCTTGTCATTCAAAGTTTACTTCGTTTGATGGCCCTAAAACACCTAGTCGCATTGTGACTAATAGAATAGCACCCCCTTGTCGATTAAATTATATGTAGTCATGTTTTTAAGTTTGTTTGTTATATTTTGCACCACATATTGCATTACACATTTCAACACATTTCAACACATTTCAACACATTTCAACAAATTCCAACTAAGGATTATCACCGCCAAGATTGAGAAAATAATCATTTTTGATAAAAATTACATTTACTCTTGTTATTATTATTGGGACTCATCAAACCCCCTTTCCTTCTTCTATATGACTGTTTATATGAAACGTTAGACATTAATTAATACACGCTTGGCGGGGGGCAATAATTGAACGGGACCCCGGTTTACAAAACATAGACTTTTCCTCTTGCCGCTTTGCTTTCATAGTCAGCCGCATATTCATTTATTGTTATGATCGCATGGACAAAATTAACGCTATGAACAAACAGCATACGCATACATAGACGGACATAATACACAAACATACGCAGACATAATAGGATATACTGTGCACATACATGATATATATGTGTATATATATGTGTGTATATATATGTGTATATATGTAGTATATATGTAGTATTGACTTTTCTGCTCTAGATAGTCTCAGGAAATGTTGATTTGCATACATACAGCATACATGTATGTTTGTATTATGGAGTATGTGGATTATCCCCCCCCTTTAAGAAGACTCATAACATATATGCGGGGGCAAACATCAGATTAGCTCATTTTTTCGAATTTAGTGCACACATGAATACATATATATTATGCTGTACCTTATATACCTTATATATTATATGCAATACGTATTGTAAAGCAAATCTTCTTAATTGTCAAATATGCCGTATGTTACATGCTTAAGCTCAGATATACATAGCAGCATTTCTGATCTTCCCGCTTTGCATTTCGAGCAGTTAAGCAATGATCACGTACAGCTAATGCAAAGCTGTAAAATCGCTATGCCTGCCGATGAGAGATCAATCAATCATCAATGAATGAGTAACATATATTATATTAGTATATTTGGGCCAATAAACCAATGGTAACGAATATTCGATGATTATGATTATGATGATTATCTACAGCATCCCCCATTCTTCAAACAGTTTTTGCACTCTTTCATACAGTATCTGCTGATTTTACTCATTTGTGTTTACTGTTTGACGCCCGATATCGTATTTGGCAATTGTAACCGCCAAAAACTGGATAACAATTAATTCGCCCTTACATTGAATATATGTAATACTTCAATATGAACAGAAAAAGAATACTATACATGCGGAATGCATATACTATTGTTATATAATATAAGATTATAATCATAATTAAAATGTATTAAAAATGTATTGCGTGCTTTATTTAGTATTAAATGAATACATGACATGAATTCAATCCCCCATTATTTTATTGAACGAACGCCTTCTCTATTGTTGTATATCCCCCCCCTCCACCCCTCTTCCAAAAACTGGTACTCTTCTCCCATCACCGTCTTGAGTAATATCTATCGATTATTATGTTTGTTACGCAACCAATTACCCAAACAATATTAATACCCCCCTATTCCCTTTGTCTCACTCAGGCTGTTCTAGTCCATTCGATCACTCACAGCACCCGACTCACATCTCAGGGCACTCTACAACCACTTGGATAACAGCAGAATCAACGCGTACTCGTTAGGGAATAGCGGGAAAGCCCATTAACTAGAAACCGGACAGGCCGTTCCTCTCGCTAGCGAGAGAATTACCCCTCTTTGATTACATCATCGTCTGGAGGCTGCCGTTCTCTGGTGACACATTCCTCTATCTCCAGCCTCCATTGTGCCTATTGATCGAATTCACAGCCACATGATTGGTTATCGATCATGGGAGAAATTAATGAGCATGCTAATACTGGTGTTAATTACAATTTATGACAATGACTATAAATAGCGACAAATACAATTTCACACAGTATACAGATACGCATGACTTGTAGTCTATATGATTTCACTTCTCTTCATAAACAATGTTCGCAAAACTTCTCGTCTATTGTTTCGGCCAAACATTCTTTCATTTGTACTCCAAAGCTATCTCTACATCTCAAACGGTTGCAATTTACTCCGCAATATCCTTCTTGGTTGCAAGTGTGCAAGGACCAATCTCAACGTCATAGACTAATGATTCAAAAACAATTAATTAATGCAGCCTATCGTCTTCCGCCATTTATTATACTACTTTACCAAACATGGATATCCACACGATAATTACTATAGACAGACAATTCGATCAAAAATGGATAAACAAACTGATTGTTGCCTTAATTGGGATGATTCCTAAGCAAATCAGACTTCACCGTGGTTGGTCCATCAGAATAATCATAATGACACTTAGCACGTTCAGATGATCTCGCGAATATCATGTTTCTCATCATATGATAACACCATAAATTCCCTCCGTTCCCCACTCTTAATTATTCGCAGCTAACAAAGGGACCGCGGATATTACAATTAAAATCTATGTCGCCGTTGAATACTACGTTTCCATATAAATCTCTACTGTTGCAGATCCCACTTGTCGTCGCGTTTTTATTCCGCACTGATTCGCGCTTTAATTTGTGCAATATAATAGTGATCACCTGATATCACATGAATTTTCATGAATTAATTCCTTAGCTCATTGTCTCGTGATCCTTTACAGTTATCATTTTTTAGACTATTTGGCATATTGACTTTGTAGCCTTTCAACAAATACCTTTTTTTGCTCGACAAATATTTTGTGTTAATGGTAATAATACCTGTGTAATTGGAGTCAAATGTCGTCCACGATTCGCGTTTTCAAATGACTACTCAAAGTTACGCCATCGCAGTATTTACGTACGTATCGCGTTTGTGTCGTAAATGAAGTAACGAAAATATCATGTGAATGGAGAATTTGCGCTCGAAGCACTTGCGGATGCTTGAATGTCGAAGAAAAATTTCCCTAAGGTGTTCATCATACATGTTCCAACGAAATGTAGAAGAAATATTATAATGTCACCGGTGCAAGTAATCAGCTTATAGAATCGACTACCATTATTTTCGGCTATAGTAATAGTAAATCTGTTATAACATAAGACTTGATAATTAATATTCATTAAAGTCAAAAGATGCGAAATAAATTTTATTGCCGTTATTTTCATTAACCAACTCACAAGAAGGTAATACATTTACTAAATTATTCGAGTCTCATTGTGACGTTTATTTTTTTATGGGATCAAAAGGATAGAATTACGAGAGGTTAATCCATAACCGTGGGCATTTGTATCTTGTTGGCATGCTTGAGCTCGGTAAGTGTCCAAAACTTGTCTTAATTCACCAAGGTTGTCTTCCCGAATTTTATGCAAATTAATTAGATAAACGGTTAATATACTATAATTATTTTACACCAATATTATCAATCACCTGAACCATTAAAGGATAATGCTCAAGAGGAAGGCTGAGATATCAATATTGAGAATACGTCTATCTGGTCGCAAAACCCTTCTCAGGCAAATTAAGGGTGAGTATACGAAGTGTAATCTACAAATAGACTATGGCCGCGTTCAGTTGGTGGTGTATCGTGGGAGATTGGATCAACTATTGACCGATACTTAATTGATCCTATCACTGAACTAATAATAATGCTTATTATTATTAGCCGTTGTATGATTCAAAAGACATGTTAATGGTGGTGCACGTACATTATGGTGGTTATTCTGAAACAAACTACTTGGACAGAAGTACCAGACATCTAACTCATCAATATTTTGTTGTTCAGAATAAAGGCTTCAATCATTGAGGTATACTTTAATTAAGTTATAATATGATATTAAAAATTTGATTCCATATTTTTCTGAAATACTATCTTAACTCTTCCTTTAATGCTTTTGAGAAATTGAACAGTTGTAACGCGTCTTTTCTGTTCCGACCAATAATCAGTAACATTATTGCGTAATCTAGAAGACGCAGAGTTTTAGATCTACATTTCAAATCGCTGAACAGAATACATGATATAAGGCAATGGCTTTGAATTGCACGTAAGAAAGTATAAAAACTATGAGGCATTTGGAACGGATTTATGCTAATACTAAGCAATCATTCTAATTCAGGAATACTTATGAACTATTCTTATTGTTGTTTATTTTAATTTAAAATTATTATATTTTTAAACCTATCTGAGGCTCAGACATCGGGTAGATAAATTCTTTCTTCGTTCAACTTTGACCGGATAGTCTCAAAAACAACCTTGCTAACGTGTCGCACGCTATGCTATAAATTATAATTATTATTATATGAGATTCTCATGTCAATCTTGTCAATCTTGCCAATCTGGAATCCGTCTTAATTCTCATGACTCTTTCAGCAAATAGCCCTGGCCGATAGCAATTTGCGAACAAGGGGAGAAATTACGCGCAACTACTGATATAACGGGGAGTATATAATTAAAAGGCGATTAATATTCGATTCGTTGATTGTAAACGTTTCCATAATTCTTCGGCCGCACTTCGAATGAGTATACGGTATATTCAATTGATATAGACAAGAATTATATGTATTCCACTACCGATCCGAGTATTTGGACACTATTTTCAACACGAAATTTACAACATTTCCATGTTTCGTATGAAGTCTTACATCAAGTATAGTGTATTGTGATATGATTATTATATACAATTGAGAGAATTCCAAGCTTTGCCATTCTGCAATAGCAGCCTATCAACCACGACTGCTCTAGAAGGTGGAGACTTTACAATCAAGTTGAGTCGAGTCGAATCGTAGAGCCAACTCTGGTATCGTGTTAGTGCGTTCAAGTATTCCCATCAAATATTCATGCTACAAAGAAATCGATTAATATTATCGGCTTGGCATGCTTTCGCGATAGTTACAAGTTATATAATCTTTTAGTTACCTTCCCGTATTTGGATAATTGTTTCAAAGAGTTTTCCCACAAAGTTAGATCGTAGACTTTATAGTCGAGACATATGTTACATATCAATTGAACCACCTGGATCGAAATAAAATATCAAATGCGTTTCTCAATTTTTGTCCACTTTCGCAAAGTCGAATAAGTTACCATTCACATACCTTCGGTTCATTACTATACTTAACCCAAAGTGACCGCGCAAGTGCTTCTTTATTACTGTTCATGAATTCCTTTGGCGTTTGTGATATGCGCAACTCTTCAAAATCAATAAGATATAACAACATCTGCATGTGTTGTCTTTCGTTTGAATAACATGTCATTTAGTCAGACAAACCACAATATTAGGTGTACTGAAGAGGTGAGAACCAAGTATGCTGCCTACTTTGCATCCTGATAATCATGAATACGCGATATCTCGTCTGCACCAGCAATTTGGAAGAGAATGGATAAAGCTCTTATTCTACTCAGAGTCGTCACTTTTGGAGATGCCCGTTGCTGTCACCAACCAACATCAGTTAATGTTATCAAGCATGAAACGCAACAGTAGAAAATATGTGGCTAACCTGATATGCATATTTCAATAGTTTATTCACGTTTGTCTCGATATCATCGCAACTAAGTAAATACAGGAGTTTCTTCTGAATTGATGTCTCTGCTTTAGCATATAATCCATGATTCGCCTATATAATCGAAGATAATACAACTCCATTTATTTCTATTGATCAACGCGTCTCTTTTGCGATGTAAAAAGAAGTTCCGTGTCCATTTACCTGCATTCTCATAGATGGTAGTGTGATTTCTTTTATATCAGGTTCCAAATCTTGTTCCTGACCAATCCAGGTCTACGTATCAAATCATTAAAAAAAGGGCTTTGTTGGTACATTAGAGAAATATGTATTATTATTACCGTAAAGAGATATTCGCGTATTTTGTTTATATCCAACTTATTCCTCATTGCAATCTCCTTTGCAATTGAGTGTATATCGATTGAGTCTGTTCAGAGTACTTCATTTCAGTAAGTTTCACGCTTATATTAAACAAATGTCTAGTAACATAATTTCACCTCTACTTCGAAGCGCTTCTTCGCCCATCCGGAAATATAATTGAAAGATACACTCTGTGGGTCGATTGGTGAAATCCAAAAATTCTTTCAGTCCCGCAGATCTCAACTGGTACTCTGTCTCCGTTGTCATCAAAGAAGTTTTCAACTTCGAAAGACCAATAGACACGCGTTCGAGCGCCTCTTTTCCCTCGTCCTTCTTTTTAATAAAATGCATAAAGCCCTCGCTGAATCACGGTGCTTGGTTTAAACATAGCGCATTCATAGTATCATACCTTCGCTACGAGACTCTGATACCAATATTCTCCCCGGTAAACTCCCGTCTGCAAGGCCTGAATTCTATCTGGACCACACGGGAAAGTATCAGCAATATACTTAAGATAAGTAAGGGCCACTTCATTATCCTGCATCTTCTGGACCAATCCTTTGAAGTCATTGAATTTTATAGTAGTCCTGAAATCGCCTCCCTGGTTTTGCTTGTCTGCAGTCTAAATTGCAAATCTTACAAGTTAAATAGAAAGCCCATTACATTAGTAAGTCAAACAGAAAAATGTGAACTTACCAGCCGAGCGATCAAATTTTCGATAGCTGCACCGAGAAATTTGTCCGCACGAATCCCTAATAAAGACGTTAATGGCCATAGCTTAGATATCGACTCTTCCGTAAGTTCCTGCTTTAACACCGTCCATGGATCACTGCGGATCTGGTGAAACGGTAAGCGATGAAGGCATCCCGGAAATTTCTAAATACATGCATTAGGTGAGTGACAATTTAAGCGGATTCATAAAATGCGAATTTTAGTCACCTGTCGAACAACGTCGATTTCCTCTACACCGACAGGTACTTCGACACCCTTTACAACTGGATAACTTTATCAGATAAATTTATGTTGATTAAATGGAGATTACACGTGAACATTACCTTTCTTCGCTTCTGCAAGTTCTTCGAGTGATGGAGGGCGATTGCGCGAGTAGTTCATCAACGTTTCGATAATTTCAAAACTTCTAATCGCATTTTCATTATTCAGTTGCAGCATTGTTACTTGTTTTAACAGAAAATGAATCCCTGCCAATAAAACAATAATAATTATAACTTAGCAGTTCGTCTATTTTTGGATTGTAAAAAAAAAAAAAAAACTCGTTCGACTAACTTTCGTAATCATAAGGCGATATGCGCGTCAAACAAGTATCCATTAACATGGTAGACAATTTGTCTTTGCCGATAATATCATCAATGATGCCTGCAATACGATTCTGGTAATTGTCTACTTCTGAAAATAGAAGCATCTTGACACAATGAAGGAGAGCATAGTCGTCTGTTAAGAAAGAATTTTTAATAATTAATAGTTATAGAGGTTTGGACTTGTAAATTAGCAGCCATTACCTTCAATGTTATATTCCCGCGCAAACTCCAACACAGTAATAATATCAAAATTTGTCTTCTTTAGGAGAGCCGGTATTAATTTGCGCTGGTAGTCTCCGTCTTTCGATTGTCTGAATTGCCCATCATCAAAAGGAATCTCTATGAAATCAAACAACTTTATAATTTAGTAACGAAACAGGCCAGCACCCCTAGAATAACAAAGAATATAAATACCAAGAAGTCGCAACTGGTGCCACCATCGGCCATTAGCCCCAAGCTGTTTGCAATCATTGAATAGAGTTCGCTGCCTCCATAATGTGGCACATCCCATTCCAACACCAGCTAGTTTTATGAGGCGATTGTAATCTGAACCTACTGTCGCCAGACCATCCTATACATCAAAATATTAATGATTTTTCTACAGTTAAGTATGACAAATATTTTACTCACCCGAAACGTATCATACGCTTTATCCATTGGTAAAGAGACCATATATCCAAGACCAAGCCAATGATCAATACGTCTTGACGTTAAAACCTTAAGAGATAAGGAGGTCAATACTTGTGCATTAATGGTGAATAAACCTACATCATGTACCTTTTGAACACACGCTTCCAACAGTTCCCAATGCATCTGGGTATCAAATTCTTCTGCTTCAGTATTCTGCCAGTTATCTGGATTCACATGTAGTATTTGTTCTTTAAACAGCTGGTACAAGTAAAGGGCGATTTGTAAACTGCTATTCTGACGAAGATATTCCATCAATCGCAGTGCAGTTGATGTCAATGAATTTCCATCGTTTGCTGACTGTTTCGAGGCCATTTTAGAGGGCTTATTATTTGTGTCAATGTACTGAGCCTTGTAGTAAACCGTTCATATTTAGTTATTTTACATATTCAACAAACTGTCATGATTATTTACGATATACTAACCTGTTTGTGATTATAACACTCAATTGTGAAGGAAGTGGCAAGTTTCATACACTCTTGACTCCTCAAAACAAGACCTACTTCATGATAATGATCCTCAAACAGCGACTTTGCATAAGTATCAATATCATCTATTGCCATATCTCCAAATTCTTCATCGGATATAGTAAGTTCTTGAGCGCGCGTTGAGGAACCTGCTGAATTCATTATCGTCATGCTGAAAGACTCTCCTACTAAAATGTCGAAAACCGTTAGCTGCTAATAGTAAGAAAACTCCGTAGATTCTATTGTGCCATACCTTTGTTGAGGGCAGATCTATAATCTCCGAGTTCACTCTGAGCAAATAACGCGTCTTGCAATTCACATTTTTTGAACACGTCGAGATATTCTAAGGTTAAATTATTGAATTAGCCTTTTTACTTCCATTGTTGTTCTTAACAAATTTAACAAGACTCACCAGAAATATCTGTATCCTTGCACATTATAACCGCGTTTTGACAGAGCTGTAAAATCTTTGTCGTCAAACGCTTATTATCCTAGGAAACGTAAAGGTTAACCAACGCTCTTCGTCTATGCTTGCTTCATTACTCTCACTACTTACATTGTCGACTCTATATACTTCTTCAGGCTGCTGAGATATATACTTCGAAATCAGTAATGCAATTTTGATCAAGACCTGTGCGGTACAAGGACCAGGAGATTTTTCACATAATTCTTTGCAAAGCGTAAATGCAGTTTGAAAGTCGCCTCGCAAGATTGCTTCTTCAGCCATAAGACCTTTCGGTTCAACGCGGTCCATGCCCAACACGTCGGTTAGCCTACGGTAATGGACTTGTTAGAAACAATCGAGAAATACAAAAAAATTTGTTGCTTAAACTTACGCGTAAACAGTAGCGTGCAACCTTAGAGTATTACGAAACTTTGATTCAGAATCAATATTCATAGTATTTTCATCCATCTGAAAAAAAATATAAAAATAAAAATAAAAATAAAAATAAGAAACATGAAATCAACTTAAAGCAAGGGTCAAATATTCACTAATGCAAACAATTGCTCAATTAATGACACCGAACCTTTGCATCCTCACGACCTTCAACAAATCTTCTTACTGTGTCTCTCTTGACGTTTTCATCTCGATATTCGTCAAGTGATATAATAATATCAAACTTCTGGTACAATGTTTTCAAACTGGATAATTCTTTTAGAAGCTCTGGAGTAGCCAGATATAATTGTGTACATGATTGTTGGTTTTCTGTATTATTGAGAATGTAGTGCGTAATCTCAATTGCAGTATTGATTGCCCAGGAATATTTCACTCCAAGTTCTATTATGGAATTTAAGAATATGCATGTAATATTATTCCGTATCCACAGCGCGCAATGATCTAATGTATAACTAACTTTTTATCTTCAATTATGAGATTCTTAGCATATTACCAAGCGTGGCATGTACTAGAACTTGTGTCTTGGCTAATTTTTAATTAAAAATGTAGCCAATATTGAAAGTTCCATTTTGATACTATACGGAACCAAAGCTACTGAAAGTGCGATCGTTATAATAGGTTTCTTAAACAACCTTACCTTCATCTGTAGCTATTGCAACGTCATTAATTATCTCGACTAACCAAGCCAAAACCTGCTGACAGACACAATAGATTACATTGGACAGCTCGTCCTTATGCTCAGTTGATTCAATCTCTGTAAGTTTTTCCAGCAAGTCCTTTACTTTTTCAACATTCCCCGTCATACAGAGCGTTTGCATTCTGAGAACATATACTTCTAGCTTGCTCAAGTGCGGATATGTATCTACGATCTAATATAACAAACATGTAAGTAATCATCCAAGGCAGAAACACATGTGCACGTACTTGGCATACCATCAGCGAGTCTTCTAATACAGAGTCAACATCTGTACGTTCCAGAACATAAGATAGCAATCCTACATATAACGCAATCGCAGGGACCTCTAATTAGATGCGATGATTCCGTCTATTTGTTCTTTCATTTTACCCTACCTTTCACCATCGTACTATCTGATATGTTGAAATTTTTTATTCCATAACGTAGTAACATCTTCCTCATTTGCAGCAACCGATATTGCTCCTGAAATTCTTCTCTACGACGGAGATTCTGTTCAGTCGAACATTTTTTAATGAGCGCCTCTAACCCATCGCTCCACGGTACAGCAGTTCGACGCATAAACTCGATAAGAACATCGACGCGGGAATCAACGTTACGGATACAATCGACAAGAATCAGAATCCGCGATTCCCATAATGCTACCAAAGACGAATTTTCAAGCAATGCTAAGTCAATGCGATTAATTGATAGGAAATAACCTAAATCGTCTATGCATACCATTAGATAGTGTAGCCGTGCCCGATCCAGCTAGAGCATTGATTGATGGCGGTAAATCCTAAGCGATTATAGTAATACATTCGTTTCTATCTGCCTCACACGACATACCTGCACCATCCATGTAGTCCAAACAATAGTCTACTAGTAGATCATCGTACGGTAATCCACATTTTTCCACATACGGTATGAAATGACGAGCTACGGCATCTTGTAAGAGCTCAGATGCAGCGACGCAATCCAGCAATGCAATGGCTTTATAAAGTAGAGATTGATTAAACTCAATCGAATATAATTTAAAACATCGCCCCATCCACTAACCAATAGAGTTTGGTGTCTCATGGCAGTATTCCTTTAACGATAGCCTGAAATTATGTGTATCCTAATAAAGGTTAACTAATTTTAAAAGTGTCTGTGGAATCAAATCAAATTGTCCAGATGTGGAACATAAACTCACCCATAGATAAACCAGATCTTCCAACTGTTGTCTTAATTTCGCATTCGCACTCTCGATCCCACCTCTCTGCGGTGCAAATTGTGGAAGATTGACAATAGAATCCACATAACAAGCTGGCGTTGTTGACGCGAACGTCCTTGCATCAGGTGAAGACGACGTGTGAATAAAGCAAACTATATCAAATGACATAAAAAGCTCATTTCAAATCATCAATGTTACCTTGAAGTGTTTTTAAAATGCACGTCATCCGTACCGCCAGCATCAATTAGTCTCATAATTTCCAATGCATTATGAGGATCTTGCTCTCGAAGCTCAATCATACGAGCCCGATGTTCAACCCACGAAATCACTTTGACTCTGCGAAAATAAAAGTTACAAATAGTCAACATGACAAAACTGCTACGTCGACTACCATGGATTACCTCTTTTCGGAATTCTGTATTCGTGGCAATAAATCATCTCGTAACCACGGAACAAACTCTCCAATACTAATATTTTCTGGCATTTCATTCAGGATATCTTCGATCACGCTCACTAAATCTTCATCTATTCAATTCACATTAGTATTATTCCTATACATTACGATAACCACTTCTTTTGTTAAATCCGCAAGCCTTACCAATACAATGCCTCCGCCATACAACACTTGCAAGTTTAATGTTCCCCATACCAATTAATCGTCTCATCTCCAAGCCTAGATCACACACGCGGAACTTCTGCCATTCCTTGCCATTAAAACAAGCATTCTCACCAGAAAGACTTTCGCAGTGATCATTTAACATTTGCCAAGTCCCGAGTCGTTGTATGGCTTGATGGACCACTGTCGTATGAATGCAGTTACTTGATGGTGAAGACTGAATGAGTAAGCGAGCGTAGCACAGTAGCTTGTATGTAGACGACTGTGTTGGAAGGATTGCTTGGAGGCAGAAGTTGATACGGAATGTATCGTCCTGGGTTAACAAGCAAGTTAGTTGTTCGGGAAAAGGTATAGTAATGTTACTGCAGATATTCAATAGATTACTTTTATTTGGGATAAATCTTTTATTAATGATTCGGCGAGATCGTTCGTTGTGTCATAATACACTTCGAACAGGTCTTCGGACGTGTTAGTAAGCATGTTACTAAATTTTGCCTTGAGAACGACCTGCTCGTATAGAAGAACTTGTTAATTGAGTCACATCACATTAGTATGTTTTGTAATTATCAAATTACTAATATACCTCTACGTCCAAATCAAACTGTTTAGCAAATCGAATAGCATCGGCATATTTTCGTTTGCTTATTAATTGTTCAAATCGCTTTAGCGGAATGGTTTCTGAGACAGCTTGGGCTACAAGACTGATCATATTGATGTCCTCTGTTATTAGCCACTATTGCTGTTACCCAAGCAAATCAGCAATTCATGCGTTAAGATACTGCTAACGACCGTTACTCACCCAGTTTGCCGTCTTTCGATAAAATAGACGGCGTCTATGCTATTCTGGTAGATTAAATATAATATAAATGAGGAAACCAATGCTTCTTTTACAGGAGAATTCTTAACATATAATGTACATACCTTGTTTTCGGGCCGAACTAGCCAACAATCGATTGAAACTTTAACACTATTTATGATTACAAATCCTGGCAGTTTGATTACTTGTATTGATCGTGATGCAGCACTTTCATTAGTATTAGACAAGGCCAGAATGTAAATAGCATCCGAAGTTTTTGCGGGTGATGACATCAAGATAAAATCAAAGATATTGACATTGGGATAGTAATCAAGTAGAATTAAACTGTATACAAATAGATAAAAATAAAGTAAATCTCCATTGAAGTTGAGGAATACAAGCATTAGGTGTTTGTTAGTCTACCTTCGCATATCCCATATATAAATACTGCCTTGTGAGTCAAGAGTAACAAGTACTCTGTTATCGTGTGTGAGACAAACTTTTGTAATTGAAATGGATTCAAACATCCCTGCGACGACGTCTGTCAGATTCACGCTTGGCGAAGATGTCGCAGACAATGATTCGCAATGCCAGACCGATATTGCCGAACTTTTCCCGTCTTTATCTGAATAACCAATTTGCTTTCAATGAATACCAAGTCATATATATAAACATAGAATTAAAGGGGAGCATTGTTATTGTACCTTGAGTTGCTATTGTCATATTTTGGCTGTTCTTATTATTCCATAACGTTACATCACTAGCCAAAAGATCTCCATCTAGCCCATGGTCGCGCAATCCAATATTAACAACAACTGGCGTTTGATAAGGTATCTGTCCATAACATAATAGAATATGAGTCGCCAAGCACGCACAAGAAACAAAAGTCTAATGCTAGACGTACATTGTTATTCCAATCTTTTTCTTGTGTCCTACTTGTATCTATATTAGATAATACACTCATCTTCATATCACTCCATATGATTACTAAATCTTCGCGAGAAGAATTGCTGTTCCATATTGCGCATTAGTACTTGTTCGTTCAATGTGTTCAATCAATGGGATCCCGGATAACAATACAACCTTGTGGCATTTGTGAACTGTACGGCCTTGCATAGACAGCTGTTATTCTTGTCTACGACAGCATATGGGCCGACTAAAATTTTCTGTGTTTGGACATGATAGATAGTAACGTCGCACATAATGTCTACTACTGCCAGGAATTTTGAATCGTGACTCAAAGTTATGCATTGAGGCGTATGCTCTTTTTTATCGTAATAAGTGAGATGAGATTGAATGTCATATTATGAGCTATATTGTTATCAAGTGAAAAATATTTCTTACCAAGAGCAATGAAGATAGTGTTTTCCTTCCCTGCCACATTAAACACGTAGATCACAGTTGATAATGCAATGCATATTATATCCGCTGAGGCAACAACATCATATATGGTAACTCGCTGGCAGTTACAAATATAAACAGTGAAACAGTTAAAGTTTTATGTTTGAACCCAATATGTCTAGTAATAGTTGTGTGCAAACCTTGTCCTCTGCGTCCTTTGAAAGACACGCAATAGATTCTATCTTGTAAACACAATTTTTTTGGTTTCTATCCGCACATCTTGGCTGGGTTTTATTACGAGACATGAAGTCTTCTTCTAGTCGCAAATCAAGTCTTACTGTGTCGTCTTGGTTGAAAACTTGAATCGTCCAAGGCGGAGCTGGCGAATCATTCGACATTTTTGTCCTATATTTTGAATACAGACGCGGAGTAGCGGGGCAAGTGCAGAATAGAAATTCCGTTTGAAGTAGGGAAATGCGCGATTTGGAAATAATTACAATCTCCTACCAACGCGTCGTGCTTTGTTTACATTCTCTTTCCAATTATAGTAAATATGAGGTGCCACAAACATTTCGGGTATTGTATAAATACCGTACTAACCCCAAACAGTAAGTACCATTTATTATCTCTCGCACATTCCCATAAAGAGAAGAAAATAAATACAGAAACGAATGTAAATTATTAAATTAAATACTCTAATGACAGCTCCCAGTTCTATTTTTATCGATGGCGGACTTTGGCCGTCGATTTAAACAAATGGAAATAATGTAACTAGATGTTGTGCGTAAAACGTGATTAGTCGTGTGCAACACTGAAGCGATAACTGCTGTTATTATGACTCTCAATCGTCCGTTGATTATCTATCTGACCATCCATTTGAACCCATCTATCATCAAGTGTACCCTGTGAAGCCACCATATTGACTTGGTCCTTCAACTTCCACGAAACTTGCCATTCTTCCTGCTGCCCTTCTTACCACCCTTTCTACCACCTTTCTTGCCATTCCCGTCACTTAATCGAGGTCGTTTGTTCCAATATGCTTTGTGCGGGTTATATACTTCGTTATAGCCATTCAATGGATACAACGTGGGAAACCATTTTCTATCAATGCTGGTGGTAGACCTCAACTTCTTGAACCCTTTCAACAATGCGACAAGCCTACACATGGGCGTCCCAAATGTACACACGAGATGATCTGCTTCTGCCAAGAGAGTTATATCAGTCACATGTGCCATGCCAAAATCCACTCTCGACTCTAGATCATATGCCATTAGTTGCTTATTCTTCTTCGAAGCGGTATCATCAAGTCGAAACTGGAAATCATTTTCAAACGAAACGAAGACCTTCCAGTCGGGACGTCGTTTCATTAAGCGCCTGCGTGCGTGCGAACTGTTGGTGTGCGCATTAACAAATACCGTGACTTCGTCTCTGATTTCAGGTATTCTTTCAAGGACTCGTTCGGCCGCCGCTATGTATTTGCCAATATGGTTGACGCGTTGTATTTGGAGCGCAATGTAGAAGTTATCCTTAGTGGTCTTTGACCGGGCATAAGGCAGTTCACCGAGGTCGCATTCTCGATGAATTAACCCTCGTATCTCCTTATTGATATGCCATATTTTACGTAGCACTCGCTCTTGTGCTTTGAATATATTCTCGTATGCTGATATTCCGGGCGAATGGCTCACGTTATGATAAACAGTCTCAATATGTTTGTCCAATAGATGCCATGACCATTGATCCATAACAACATGTGACGCTGTCTTGAATTTCGCTTCCGTTTCTCTCAATTCGTCTGGACCAAGCGGTGTACTTGGAAATTGCGCGTACATGTCGGGGTGCTCAGGTCGAACACACGATGGTTTATGCAATCTTTTGAAGAAGCTATTCCATCGCCCATAATTCCACTTCTTGTCAGCAAGAAAGAAAGAACGACTAGTGTCTTCTGCATAAATCATAGCATTTACGAGGCCGAGAATCTGGAAGGAAAAGTCATAGTGATCAGAAAGAACGAAGGTAAGGGAGCGTTCACAGTATGGCCTGCCCAGCGGGTCATATTTAGGGAGAGAGATTGAAGAGTTGGGTGAGATGGAAAAGTAGAATAGAGTGAGGAAGATTGCTGCTGTGAAGCTTTGAACTAGTCTATAAGTTGATATGCGCCTGACCATTATACGTAAAGTATTAATATGGTAGGATTATTTGTGAATTAAGGAAAGTGTTTCCAAGTCTATATTAATATATGAGACTGGTCGGTTTGGCTGGGCGGGCAGAGAGGATTGATTAGTAAGTGTAATAAGTAAATGTCTTGGTGGTAATATTGGATGTAAGATGTAACACAAAATAATACACGGTTACGTTTCTACAAATTCATCCTATAAGACAAGAGTTTCTTGTTCGTCGATTGTTGTATCAGCAGTTCGTTCAGTCGCATGCTGCAAACAAAACCAAAGCGAATAAATCGATCCTATGATCAAAAGGTGGTAGCCTGAAACAATACACGATCATTTACTTAAGATGACTAACGTAACTATAGCTATGTCATATCCAGGGTCCCTATAGAGTCACAGTCACCCGATTTTGGATTCCCGTTACTATCACTATGACACCTATATATAAAATCCCTTGATAATAATAAACGTCCATATTGTATCAATTTTATATCGTAAGATAAACGCATATAGCACATAATAATAATATAGGTAAACGCAGCGATTTATTATATCGTAGCAAATAATAGAAAGTTGGCGGTAAGCACCTCATAAAGCCCATATTAATATATATTATATTATATGCCACAAAAGTTACACGGTAATATAGTAATGAATATAATAATAAATGCTATTACTGTATTACCTGTCACATCGATTTTGTACATAATAGATAAGGATTGCGGTAGTAAAGGTTTTTTAATATAATGCAGAGTGCACTTTATCCAAAGATATTACTGAAATTACCATGCCGTTCCTTTCGGAGGTTGTCCTTAACGGTTTATTAATGGAGACATCGAGCGGTTGACATTTACTTGTCAATCCGCCCGGGATTACCGCGAGATAGACACGAAACTTTTCTTTAATTAAATCTTCTAGTTGGCCTCTAAAAGATCGTACACAAGCATTGCCGAATTCTGTTTTTCACCCTTATCGTTATATCGTTAAGATAATCTACGTATCTCTGTATCAAACTAGTGTCCATCCAACTGTTGATTTGAAACCGATCGATGACTTCCAGAGGCGTTTTTTCTCCACGTGGGATTCGTTTTCCTTTAAAGATGCAAATGGGGGGAATTTAGACCTGTCTATTGTAAGATTTGAAATTGCAAAGGTCATTAAATAAAAAATAATTAAATGATTAATTAAGAAGAAAAAAAGGAACGATACCTGCGGCACATATAAGAACTACCATAAATCGAATCTTTTCGTTTTCCGTGGCTCGAATATGAACCGTCTTTTCTCCCTTAGAGTTAATCGTATAAACGCCGGCCATATCGAACCAGACCGGTGTTTCATCCATATTAAGGATGTTTCCTAATTCAACGTTTTTCAGTCCTTAAGTTTTTAACAAATTAGTGAAATTTTCTAGTTGTTCCTGAGTTTTATCATGAAATTCTCGTCCGTCTACGCAACGCCAAATTGAACCTTTTCATAAAGCCCAATATCCAACGCTGAAATGGTTTAAAGTCCTCCCTAAATTACCATAAAGAACCACCATTTTAAGATTTCCAACATTTGTTATGTAGGCCACTGTAAGACCTTGTTTTCTTTGTTGTATAATCCAGGTATAAAGCTTTTTCTCTACTTCTGGAAATAAGGCTTATTCGTTATAGTCATCCAACCATTATGTTCATACTTGATAAACAGTTCGCTCTTACGAGTATGTACTAGAGATAATAATATTTTTCTCACTTAATCACATCGGTATACAAGCCTTTCCTATGTTGGTTAAGAAAGTTATTAAATGTTCGCTACACTAACGTTATGGAAAGACTCGCCCGTTTTGATACAAATAATAATCATAACAACTCTTGTTCAGCGAACGAACGCTTTTTACTTTATTCTTAAACATGATCTTTCTCAACAAACAAGTATTGGATTGGTCCATCGAACTAATAAGTCTGTTGTGAGGCTTTATTTCATTATAGCTTTCATTATCGTAGCGGAAGTCTTATAGTAAACCAGCTCCCATATCGCTACGTTTATAAATATTAAGCTCCTTCTTCACGATAGTCGTTTCAGGAGACTTAAGAACGATATTGCATTTATTATCCTTTCATTCGAACTGATCATTTTCAATATTGAATCGCTTGCAATAAGTTTTACGACAAAAGTCTAACGAGGTTTCGTTATGCATTAACTTTGTATACAGAGGTTGATCGTCGTCCATTTCAGGGACAATATGCAGGGTCGATCATGTTAAATTAACAATAGTAATAGTAATAGGATCGGTTGGATTTCATTCCATCGGTAATTAGTAATTTATTTCAGAACAAGAGTATTATCGAGTTCAGAGTTTGATCAGAATTGATCCGAAGACCAAAACCGATGCGTTTGCATGCTGGGATAGCATGTCTTTAAATACAATTTCTAACTACTTAGATTTCGGTATACCGCAATCGAAATGATCATCACTCTGTGCTACTCTACACTACCCTACCATAAATTACGGGATTTCATATTTTTTTTTTAAAAAAAAAACTCTCCTGCCCATGTGTGCTATGTGAATAATAATAGCTTTTGCATGGGTTTGAAGCTAATTAATTGTGCTTTTTGAAAAAAATCAACAGTAAATTATATATGGGGCAGACTGCAACAAAACCAGACAAAGTGAACACTTGACGTCATGTCGCTAAACCACGTGTCATTGTTTTTGCTATATATGTACATACGCGTAAAAAAATTTTTTTCCTCGAACACACGTCGCGGTCTAAACACTAGTAAGAAATATTGGAGTGTTTCGTCCAGCAACCGAAACTTACTGATTACTAATCTCTTTGATTCCAGTGGTGAACAAAATATCCTTCTTCGAAACAAGCCTTTTCCGATTCTTAACTCGACGAGATGCCACATTCAACGTCAGCTCTATAACCGCTGATGACCTCCTCGCTTACTATCGACAGGAAAATCCAATTCACAAACCCTTCCAAATATACAACGTTATCGTCAAGGATTTAGAGCAAGCTATTGCTTCGAAATTCTTCAGCGAGGATATTATAGACAGTTTGAAAGGAATCAGAGACAATTGGCAGGTGATTAATTTTATCTTACAAGGCTTTGGCTTGCAAGGGATAACCTCTAGAAGGGAATGTATCTGAAGGCAAGGAAGGGCTGCAGGTCACATCCTTGCGGCATATGGGGACTGCAGGTCGCTCGGGTTTGGAAGTTTTGGGACTGCAGGTCACTCAAACCTAAACCACTCCACTTGCATTTTATAGCCGCTTAAGACTGGTCTGCATAATTTATTATTTTGTATTTTAACACAAAATATTAATGATACTTTTTTTTTTGAGGAATGGAAAAAGAGTCACCTTAAGCACATCCATGAGGAATGGAATGACCAGCGCAAAACTTGGTTTGTGAGTGATCGATTGTTTATTGTCAGATTGTTAAGTTTTAAGTTTGTCAATTACAAATAAACTCATTATTTTCATTGTCTTATTTTATTTTATTCTTCACTAGAAATCGAGTGTTAATAAATATCAGCAAAGTGTTGCCACAATAGTTGACACAGAAATTGGAAAGTGGTGCGAAGAAGCTGTCAATGATATGGAATCTCTATCCCTCAAGCATTCTCTTGAGCATTCTGAAAATGAAGAGGATGGATTGCCAGGAAAGGTTCAGCAACAGGAAATAATCAATGAAGTCATAGACGAAGTCAATCATGAATGTGATATACAGCAAGAGCCCAATTTATCAGAAACATTGGTATGCCTCAACCTCTTGTTTTGTTGCTGCCTGTCAAATGTATAAAACTCACATTTGGTTTAAAGCCTGAGAAATATGTCATCCATGGTGTTGATATTGCCATGCACCAGAAGTTGGGAAATTATGAGTCAGTATCTGTATGCATTATCTAGAGTTTTGACAGTTTCTGGGCTAAATATTGAATTCTCAACATTTCTTTCCCTAGAGCTGCTTATTATGATGTTTTGGATTTAAGTTAGAGAATGGTCAAGGAAATGTTCCCATCAAAAGTGTGGACAGCACTTAAGAAAGAAACATATTTAACACCATGTGCCATCTGACAAGGTCAAAATGTGGCTTAAAGATTTAGACACAGAGGTATGATTTTGAACCATTATATGAATTCAGTTTTAGAGTATGGAAAGTTCTTAGAAAATGGATTTGATTCTCAGTCAATCAACAATATCAAAGCAAAACTGCTGTGGCTATCAATGGCTCAGTAATATAATTGTGGGCTTTTTAGGTACATGACAGGTGTAAATTTTAAAACACCTTCTGTTTTCTATAGATTTCAATCTTTTTACTATGTTCCCGATAAATTTTATAAATCATATATGCAGGTGTTTTTTTTCTGTATGACACCATGTGGTGTATATTTTTGATATCCTATTTGATTACTAATTAGCTTTCTGATGTGGAGGAGCATAGCAACTCCGAATGCAAAGCATAGTAATATGAAGAAAATTACACTGGAAACTCCAGAACCTATATATAAAACTTTTCCATTCAAGCATGAAACTATAGAAATTATTAGAGAAGATTGAATTAATGGAACTATTACTATAGAAAAAGGATATAACGAAATTATAGACCAGATTGAAGTATTTCTTGAGATAAGTGCATTTAGGCCACTATGTGGTAGTAACTATTTACCTTTACCAGAAGCTTTAGATAAACCTCAACTAGGATTAATTAATCTGCAAAATAATGATGATAATGAGTGTTTTAAGTGGTGTATTAGTGCATATCATACAAGAGAGGAAGCATTAAAAGCAA